AGCCCTGCTGAATAATGCCGGGTGATTGTATAGTGGTTGGGAAGGAGCTTCCACCTTGGAGAAACACTTCCTGATATCTCCCCTAGGTGCTGACTCAACAGGCATTTGATTCCCTCCAAATGCATTTGGCTTTTCACAGATTACTAGCCTTGTCCTTGCCCATGCACAGCTTCTAGGAAGCCAGAGTATAGGAGCCAGATTCCAATTCCAGTAGGTCTTTTGTCTGCTGCTGTTCGGAGTTTATAGTGTGAGGCTGTACTAACCATTTCCTTTGAATGCTGCCAGTATGGTTCTGCTGGTCCATTCTGCCTCATTTTTCATTCATGTTTTTAGTTTCTGAAATGGGCGACTTTTATTATACAGCTGCATACTACTATATGCTACTTCCAACCTGTCCTTGATGTGGTCTCTCTGTGCTGTTATAACTGTTTTCACATTGTGAAGTGTGAATATGCACTTTCATGTGCCACCTATTTAATATGCATGCTCATAAAGGCTTAAAGCACATCTGAATCTACTTTTTTTTTTTTTTTTTTTTTGAGACAGAGTCTTGCTCTTTCACCCAGGTTAGAGTGCAATGGTGTGATCCTAGCTCACTACAGTCTCCAACTCCTGGGCTCAAGCAATACTCCTGCCTCAGCCTCCTGAGTGGCTGGAACTACAGGCGTGAGCCTCTATACCTGGACCTGAATTTACTGTTTAACAGTTTTGGTGAAAAGCTAAATGTATTCAAGTGTTCAGTAAATGTTATTTGGTGTTAATAAGTCACCAGAGGCTTATAACATATTGAAGATGACATCAAGATGATTCCACATTCTGATTATTTTAATAATTTGAGTTCTGGGATACAAGTGCAGGATGTGCAGGCTTGTTACATAGGCAAATGTGTGCCATGGTGATTTGCTGCACCTATCGACCCATCACCTAGGTGTTAAGCACCACATGCCTCAGCTATTTAGCCTGATGCTCCCTCCTCCCCGCTCCCTACAACAGGCCCCGCTATGTGGTATTACCCTCTCCGTGTTCATGTGTTCTCGTTGTTCAGCTCCCACTTATAAGTGAGAACTTGCAGATTTGGTTTTCTGTTCCTGTGTTAGTCTGCTGAGGATAATGGCTTCCAGCTCCAACCATGTTCCTGCAAAGGACATGATTTCATTCCTTTTTATGGCTGCATAGTATTCTGTGATGTATATATACCACATCTTCTTTATCCAGTCAATCATTGATGGGCATTTGGGTTGATTCCGTGTCTTTGGTATTGTGAATAGTACTGCAATGAATATACACATGCATGTATCTTTATAGTAGAATGATTTATATTCCTTTGGGTATATACCCAGTAATGGGACTGCTGGGTCAAATGGTATTTCTGGTTCTAGGTCTTTGAGCAATCACCACATTGTCTTCCACAATGGTTGAACTACTTTACACTCCCACCAACAATATATAAGGGTTCCCTTTTCTTGATAATCTTGCTAGCATCTGTTTTTTCTTGACTTTTTAATAAAATCATCATTCTGATTGGTGGGCTGGCAGTAGCCACAATGAAATGGTTATCTCATTGTGGTTTTGATTTGCATTTCTCTAATGATCAGTGATGTTGAACTGTTTTTATATGCTTTTGGCCACATAAATGTCTTCTTTTGAGAAGTGTCTGTTTATGTCCTTTGCCCTCCTTTAATGGGATTGTTTTTTCTTGTAAATTTAAGTTCCTTGTAGTTTCTGGATATTAGACCTTTGTCAGATGGATAGACTGCAAAATATTTCTCCTATTCTGGTTGTCTCTTCATTCTGATAGTTTCTTTTGCTGTGCAGCAGCTTAATTAGATCCCATTTGTAAATTTTTGCTTTTGTTGTAATTGCTTCTGATGTTTTCGTCCTGAAATCTTTGCCCATGCTTATGTCCTGTATGCTATTGTCTAGGTTTTCTTCTAGAGTTGTTATAGTTTTGGGTTTTACATTTAAGTCTTTAATCCATCTTAATTTTTGTGTAAGGTGTAAGGAAAAGGTCCAATTTCAGTTTTCTGCATATGTCTAGCCAGTTTTCCCAGCACCATTTATTACATAGGGAATCCTTTCCCCTTTGCTTGTTTTTATCAGGTTTGTTGAAGATCAGATGGTTGTAGATGTGCAGTCTTATTTCTGAGATCTCTAGTCTGTTCCATTGGTCTATGTGTCTGTTTTTTCACCGGTACCATACTGTTTTGCTTACTGTACACTTTTTGTATAGTTTGAAGTCAGGCAGTGTGATGCCTCCAGTTTCGTTATTTTTGCTTAGGATTGTCTTGGCTATCTGTGCTCTTTTATGGTTCCATATGAATTTTAAAGTAGTTTTTTTTCTAATTCTATGAAGAATGTCAATGATATTTTAATGGAAATAACATTGAATCAATAAATTACTTTGGACACTATGGCCGTTTTCACGATGTTGATTCTTCCTATCCATGAGCATTCTTCCTATCCATGGACTGTTTTTCCATTTGTTTATGTCCTCTCTTATTTCCTTGAGCAGTGGTTTGTAGTTCTCCTTGAAGAGGTCCTTCACTCTTCCCTTGTTAGCTGTATTCCTAGGTATTTTATTCTCTCTGTAGCAATTGTGAATGGGAGTTCATTCATGACTTGGCTCTCTGCTTGTCTATTTTTGGCATATAAAAATGCTTGTGATTTTTGCACATTGATTTTGTATCCTGAGACATTGCTGAAGTTGCTTATCAGCTTAAGAAGCTTTTGGGCTGAGATGACGATGAGGTTTTCTAGATATAGGATCACGTCATCTCCAAACAGACACAGTCTGACTTCCTCTCTTCCTATCTGAATACCCTTTATTTCTTTCTCTTGCCTAATTACCCTGGCCAGAACTTCCAATATTACATTGAATAGGAGTGGTGAGAGAAGGCATCCTTGCCTAATGCCAGTTTTCAACAGAAATGCTTCCAGCTTTTGCCCATTCAGTATGATATTGGCCGTAGGTTTGTCATAAATGGCTCTTCTTTTTTTGAATATGTTCCATCAATACCTAGTTTATTGAGAGTTTTTAGTATGAAGAGGTGTTGACCTTTTCTGTGTCTATTGAGATAATCAAGTGGTTTTTGTCATTGGTTCTTTTTCTCCATTTTGATTTTTAAAAATTGAAATATGATGTTTTCAGGCTTAAATAAAATGGCAGAAAATCTGGAAAACACCCTGATTCTTAAAATGATGCTCTGGAAATGTTGCTGAATTTGATATTCAGTCAGGGGTTTCCAACAGATGATGCTTGTACAATAAGCTTACACAGTGAATCTGCCATTGTGATAGAGGAGGCTTTAAATCAGATTTAAATCTTGTCATGCCTAAATAAATGTGCTAATATTTTCTGTCGGTCTCTAGTGCAGCTGTTAAAACATTAGGGCTCTGTAGACCAAATGAGACTTCTATATTTCATATGAGTTAGTTCTGTGTTCTAATTCTTATTATTTTTTGCTTTTCTAATTAGAAAACAGGCATTGACTTTTGTAAAGGTGAACATCAAGATTTACTGATTCTAAATATCACTTTCAGAACAATAAATTTTGAATCTCAAAGCACAAAGTCAATACATGTCACAGATTCTGAATGCTTTCAGTAGCACAGGAAAACTTCAGAATTTTGCATATGCAACATTTAAGCTGGAAGCTATCACTCATTCAGGAAACAGCAAATAATGTTTGATTTCAACTAAGATGGCAGTTTTCTGGTAACTTTGCTCAGCTAATCATATTTTTTAAACAAATTCTTAAAAATACAACACCATTTACTTTCCTACAAATTTCAGCAAACAAAAATTTTAAGGTTTTTTTTTTCTTTCTTTAATTTCCAGTTTCCCCAGTTATGAAGTGTCAGTTCTCAACTCCCTCTTCATGGGCTTCATGCTTAAGTTTTTTCAAGCATAAGTTTTACAAATTAGCTTCACCCTTCACAACTATCTTTTCATAAACTCGCTTAACATATTGAGTCAAGCAGTTTAATAATCCTCTTTGTCATATCCTCCTCCTTTGTTCTTTGGGGCCCAACTGTGACTCACTCACCTCAATTTTACCAACTAATATCCATACAATTTCTTATGAATTTTGCCAACTAATATCCATACAATTTCTTAGATTCAAGATCTAGGCACTGTACCTCAAAGTTATGAGAAATGTGACTGACAGCAGATTTTTCCATGTGCTCACACATCCATTCATTTGATATCAATTGACTCAATAATGAAAATTCTATAAATTAGCTGCATCTTTTTATGTGACAAATGTATCTTCTCAGGTGAAAACTCCAGTAAGATTATCAGAAAAACAACTCTTCTTTGGGGCAAGGGCTCAAACTCATGGACATTTTTTTTTTTTCTGTTTAGGAAAGAAACAAATAAAATTTAAATGTTTACTTTATATTTTTATTAAAGTTTAAGTAAATTGGGCAACTAAATGTGTATAATGATAGGTACCAGAGATTGTCTTCCATTCCACCTCCAAATCAATTAAATGAAAACACTCAGGAGTTTTAAGCTCAATCTTGTGAACCTAGGAAAAAAGAATGTGTCCAGATATATTCATTAATTCAGAAATAAAATTTAATGACTCTTAATTTTGTTTTTATTAGTACAAATGAGATTAACAGTCCTTAAATTTCACATATTTCTTTTTGTTTGTTTGTGTTTGAAATGGAGTCTCTCTCTATCACCCAGGCTGGTGTGCAGTGGCACAATTTCAGCTTACTGCAACCTCCATCTCCTGGTTCAAGCAATTCCTGTGCTTCAGCCTCCTCAGTAGCTGGGATTAAAGGCATGCACCACCTGGCTAATTTTCGTATTTTTAATAGAGACAAGATTTTCACCATGTTGGCCAGGCTGGTCTGGAACTGCTGACCTCAAGGGATCCACCTGCCTCAGCTTCCCAAAGTGCTAGGATTTCAGGTGTGAGCCAACGTGCCGAGCCTAAATTTAACATATTTCTGAAGAATCATACACATGTCCTGTTTTTAGCAGGAGCTCAAAGAAAATGCTTGATAAGGTACAGATTTATTTTATTTTAGTCCAATCCCTGTATTTAGCAAATACAAAACCACAGTCATGTTTAAAATGTAAAAATTGTAGAATAGCTCTGTATACTAAAATATTATTAATAATGCAGTTTCTGAGAACCAAAATATCAGCTGGCTGACTTTGCTTTTGTGATATATATTAACACCTTTTAGCATGACAATATGATGAAGTAAAGCTTACCATTCTTTCAATATCTTTTGATGTTCAGTATGCATTACTAGTTGGCAAATTCATTTTAGTGGCAGTATGGTAAGAATTCAGTCCAAAGAGCAAAGATTCATTTTGATGAACTATTTGATCATAAAACATGCAGTGGCAAATTTTCAATTCATAAACTATTTTTATCATTCAGTGAAGATTACTATTGTAGTTAGCATGATCATGAGAACTTTTCCCTGCTTGATTAAAAGCATTTACTGTTACCAGAAGATTGGCTATGTCATGCAAAAGGTCCAATAACCCTGCCAAGGGTATGGCAATCACCTCCCCAGCATGCTCAGTTTGTACATTAATGGCTGCCTTAAGCTTGAACACAAAACATCACACACTTCAGAACATGTGTCTCAATAGAGCTTCCTACACCTTCCCCACTAGCTAATCAGACATGGATCATCATTGTTTGACTTGACTTCTCCTTCCAGCAGCAGATTCATCACCGCCTTTGTCAAATAGCTGCATGTTCCTTTTTTTCCCAGGGGGGGAGTGTTGTAAAAGGGAGTCATGTCATCCTACAAAGAAAAACAGTAAGCAAGGCATTTGATCTTCTGTTTGTAAAGAGTTGACAGGTAAAATCAGTGTCAGCCTAGGGGGAAAAATAAATTCATATAAAGATTTCCTCATGGAAAATATGAGATTCCTGAGCTTTTCATTCATTTTCCTGAGGTGCATATAAAACAAAGACAGACATTTTAGTATTCTCTTCTTTGTTGATAATTTGTATTTACTTAGAGAACCTCTTTACAGATGAACTTAAAATATTAAACAGAGAACCCGCAAGGGCCTGTCTTAGGCAGTACACAGCACCAATGTAGCCTATCACTGCATTCTCACTGTCCCCAGAATTTAATTTTATAGCCTTCTGGAGTCTATGCCTCCTCCCTGATAAAACACTTTCACTGCTAACCATAAAAAGGAAATTTATGTCTTTCTAGATTTCTTTTTTGTCACAACTTCACATCTGAATTGACTAGTAATTAACTAAAAAGTAGCATTAATTCCTCAAATAAGGCAGACTGCCCCTCAAGTATTCTATTTTGCACTCTGTGAATCTGTTTTATAGAATAAATGAAAAGCAATTAGGGATATTGTAAAGAATTGAGACAATGAAAAAAATTCTACACAAAAAAATGTTGTTTACTTACTTGTTTTTCAATTTCCTTTGGCTGACTCTGATCTTTTTGAAATTCATTAAATGCTTCTTTGACCAGTCTGTCTAGATCTACTTTGTCTTGAAATTCTAGCTCAGGGTTTCTTTCCAGTACAATGGATACGACCATGAGTAACTAGGAGAGGCAGACATTAAAAGACAATTATATGAACCATAATAGTGACATGTTTTCACTCTTTAATCAGATAGATGGGTGATTCACAAGAAGTTCCATATGATGAGAGATTTAAGGATCATCTATGGAAGGAATCTTTCTAATTTTGCAAGTTATCTGCATAAGTACTGTTCAGAAAGTACACATATTTTTTCATTGTGTGTGTCCCTAGAAATGCTTTTTAGTCAGTTGAATAAAACCGTTAGAAAAATGACTTTCCTAACCCATTGTGTACATAATACATGATGCCCTATTCACCCAAAGTGTCTGAACTCTTTCTGGGCCTTTGGGCATCAATCCTTGTTGGCAAGAAACCAAAACACCATCTGTGGAGAGATGGGTCAGGCACCAAAGCCAGAGAAGCCACATGGGTTCAATGGAGACTCTGGACCTAGGTTCAGGATCAAATGACCTGGAGCCCAGAACCCAAACAAGAATAAATCTGTGACGCTGCAGTAGTTTCTAAAGGGATGGCCATGTTTTAAAAAAATACATTTAACTCTGACTTCTGTGACAAGAGTCCTATTTGGTCTGTATAAATTATCATAGTTTAATGCATCAGTCTATTGCTTGGCCATCACATATACCTACCCTAAGTGGTAATGCTCATTTTAGATGCCAAAATCCTATAAACAAAAATAGTGTCTGCATATGCAATAATTGGTAAAGGCTCTCTGATGATGTTTATGTACTAATTTGTACACTGAACAGGAAACATGCCTCGTAATCCCCAATTTTGGATTCTTACTGACTGTACTTTATCTAGATGCTTCCAAAACAGAACTTGAAAGAATCAAAGCAAACAGAGTAAAATCCAGGGGTCACAATGTCAGAAACCTTGGGGCAGGCCTTTAGCCATGAGAATAGGGATTTTTGCTGTGGCCTTAAAGGAAAATGTCTTCTGCAAAGGGAATGACCTCACTGTGGTCAACAAGAAGGACCTTTATGTCCAGTGTATATCCCAGACGCTGGGTACTAGACATGGAAGACATTCACCCATCTAATAACCCCATCTTTTCCCTACCCAGTCTGCCTCATGCTATGAAAATAGTTGGCTGATACTGTTCCACATCCTGGGACATCAAAGATGAGGCTGAATCTACTCAGCTCTGGCTGCAGCTACAGACATGCTAGATTTTAGGAGGTGCCATGTCCAGGTTGGCAGTCACACAGAGCTTCTGTACCAATAAGACATATTATCTACCCTCGAGAAACATCAAAGTCTGATGAACACATTCCCGGAAAAGAGACATAGTGAGGATGAGCTAAATATTAAATCCATCAATTGGTGGTTTCTCTATGCATTTGGGGTAATATTTAACATGACAAAAGGGCATGTGTGTTCTGTTAATTTTACATTTAATTTTATACAAACCAGTGATACAGCATGCAATGACATGTCTTCTTTTCACATGGAGATGTCTGGAAAGATGGCCCTCAAAATATTAACAGCAAGGATCTCTGGCTAGTGAGTGGGGGGAGGAAACTTTTATGCTCTTTTCTATAATTTTCTAAACTGCTGAAATTTTCTACAATAGTTGTGCATTATTTCTGTGAATAGAAAAAAAATGAAAATAAAGTAAATAGAAAAGGTCACTTCCTCTACTTTTATGATGTTGCGGATGCACCTGAGGCTGAGGGGTGAGTGTGTGGCTGAAAAGCAGGGGTTGGCTCTCCCTCCCTGGAGAAGTCTGAGGTCTGAATTGCTCATGTGTCTTGCCTTGGGTCCGGGTGGCCATCTTCTTGAGGACTCGGCTGGGAGAGATCAGGGTTCCAGAAAGAATAGCATTCTGGGTCTCACAGGCAGTTTCCCTTACTCTAGTTTTCAGGGAACAGAGAGAAGGCACTTTGTCAGCAATCTTAATTTCCTACTACCCACCTCTACAACAATCTGTCTGTACCGTGGCTGGTCAATATTTCCCAATGTGTCTTCAACAAGGAGAGAGAAATTCATCTCATACATGGTCATATCCGACAGGGTTGGTTGCTGAAAAAAATAACTCCACATTAACATGCTGAACTGTTATGCTCTCGTTCTCATTTAATAGAGGAATTTCATTTTCTAATGGTTAATAGTTTTCAGTTTTTATAAAACCTTGGAGAGCATTTCCAGCTCCACAACTAAATTTTATATAGGTCAACTATTAAAGCCAACCAGCTGACTATTGTGATGAATTAAACCTCCCATTTTTAGTAGTTACCTTCACTACATTAATGTTTTTGAGGAAAAGGCCTATATTAGAAGGCCACTTCAATACACAAAAGGAATAGCCAAGCAAATAGACTACATATTGCCTTCAGAATTGACATGAAAAGTTATGCTTGCTGTCAGGCTCCTGCACGGAAGTCACCGGCTATTGAATTTACATCATTTTTGTGGCAGGTCCTTTCTGAGCTGGCAGCATAAAAATGCATACAAACAAGCAAAACCAGTATTATGTGCAGAACTGGGAAGAAAACAGGAAAAAAGCAAAGCTGAAAGAATTTCCTCTACTCTGCCCTTTATCTTTCATTTAAAGTAAGAATATCAAATAGTTTTCCATTCATTTTTCACAAACCAAAATGAAAGCAGAAAATAAACTCAAATTCAAATACAAATCTGGGCATGGGGATATCCCTCAGAGGAGGGAAGGCAAGGCTCTGGACACTAGGCTTGTATGGTAGAAAGCAGATGGGGTCACTAGATCATTACCAGAGAGGCAGAGATGACAGATACTTGTTTTCACCACAGTGATAATTTCCAGTGAACTCAATCAGGTTCAGAACCATGTTATCTACTTACCACCCAAAATGGTACCCAAAGTCCTCTTTCAGTCAAGTGACAGCAAAGTTGTTCAGCCTGGTATAATAATGCCTTAGTCCTACATTCAATAGATATTCAATACAGCTAACTATTGTATTTCATAGTCAATATAATCCAACATATGATTAATGTTTACAGGTAGTACCTAATTTGGGGAAAACAAAGCCCCACTGCTAAACACAGTTATCATTGACTAGATCTCTAGCAATAGGCTTAATGGGGTTACAGAAGGAAAGGAAGACCCTTTCATAGTTTCACATTAATTTCTTCTTAATATATCTCAACCTAGCTACTGTGCAACTAGAGAAGAGATACCAAGCTTGCCTTATTTCCTACTCTTCTGAAAGGACTTAGGGTAACTAGTATAGCAGAGAAGTTAAGAGACAAGACTCAGCAGCTATACTGCCAGGGGTCATACCTTGCAGCAGCTACTTACTAGATGTGTGCCTTGAGGAAATCATTTAGCTGTGTTTGTGTCCTCTTCTGCCAAACAGGAATGCTAATAACTAATCACCTTCCTCACAAAATTGTCTTATGGATCAAATGGGTACTTAGAAAAGTGCTTGAAGCAGAAAAATACTAAACATGTATTTATTGTCATCATCGTTATTTTTAGCAAAGAGAGGATATTAGCATAGCAAGGATACTACATGTTAAGTGGCCCAGGCTGTCAGACAATTAAATGAAAATCTGTTAAGTATTAGTGGGGGCTGAGAAAGAAGCTAACAAGTGGTTGCGAGCGTGCACTGCCCAAATGGGCAGAGAGGAGGCCTCGCAGGATGCTTTGAACTACAGCAATGAGGGGCTGCTCTCTGCTCTCAAGAAACGGTGCTGTTCCTGAACAGTAATCACAGGGCACCCAGGAGAGGGCTAGGCCCTGCAATGACAGTGAAATAAAACTACTTGCAGTCTGTGAACAGTACAAAGAATACATTTTTAAAGTTTTTATGCATTTTTTTTTAATAAGTAATATATTCACAGCATTCAAACTTTGAAAGGTATAAAAGAGTTCCAGGGAAGAGCCCACACTGTCCTCCCAGTCACACAGTTCCTTTTACCAAAGGCTGAGAAAAGAATACTATCAATTTCCTATGGGTCCTTCCAGAGACACCCTTAGGTAGATAGAAGCAAAATGAGTGTGGGTCTGTGCCTTTGAGAATCCTTTATTTGTATAAAGAGCTACATTAAAATTTATTTCATTGATATTTCAACACTAAAAACAATTACAGTACTGTATTTCCAGAAGGCTAATCCTTCACTTTTGTATATAAGTAGAATGATTGAGATGCCAGGATTAAATAATCACATCAAAGAAGCAGGCCAGTGCATATCATGTGGGAAACCAACTGAAGGAGAGGGCACTTACTCACTTGGACCACAGGTAAGGTACACCTCGAGTAAAATAAGTGATTATCTGTCCAATGACCTAAAAAGTTACTGCATTTTTCAATTTCAACACAATTGCTAAGTGGTGATTTCCTAATCCACAGCATGACTAGGCCCCTTTCCTTCTTAGGTCTGCTCTGGTTCTATCTTTTCAATGCATGCTTTACTGTTAGTGAGGTCCCCCAGCACTGTTTGTGACGCACCACCAGTTGGGGTCATGAAAGGGTACCCCCTCTTAAAGAAAGCCAATATAGGAAACTTTAAGCTGGCAAGTAAACAAAGGAAAGACAGCTTGTTCAACAAGAGGTTTGGTTTTTTTTTTTTTTTTAAAGGGAACATCCTCAAAACATCTAAAATACAACAATACCAACAACTTTTTATTAAACACAACTTTCAGCAACATATCCATTTGATAAAGTGAGCCTTTTCTGCCAACAGGGGCACTAAATTTGAAAAATGAAAGTAGCTCATATGGGGGAAAAATATTTTCAATCTAATTGATTAGATTTCTTATTTTCTAGTGTTTCATTCCTTGAGGTAATATCCCTTCTTCGAAAATACTCTTAAATGCTAAAAAGGAGAAAAGTTATTTGTAATACAGAGGAGGAAAGGATTCACCACCCTTTCTGAAGTCCTCTTTCTTTACAGGAACACAGTGGGGCTTTACCTGAGGCAAATGCTTCCCAGCGACAATGATGCCATTGGGCGTGCGCTCCAGGATCTGCCACACTCGGTCATAGAACCCGGTGGGCGTTCTATTCAAAGACCCATCGATCTGACGCCTGTTCAGCCAACATCTGTAGACAAAAGGCAAATGTCTTAGAGTTGAAGAACAAGCTTGTTCTGGCAGAAAGCAGGGCTTTCAATACGAACTAATTGTTCCGATAGGGTACGCAATAAAAGCCAAAGCCCATCAATGATGCATATCTCTGTGTGCTACAGAGGCTAGTAGCACATTTTCAATATTTCATAATGAAAATGGGGCTTGCAGGACAGGAGGAAGTCTCCAAGAGTCTAAAAAATTCGGCCGGGCGCGGTGGCTCAAGCCTGTAATCCCAGCACTTTGGGAGGCCGAGGCAGGTGGATCACGAGGTCAAGAGATCGAGACCATCCTGGTCAACATGGTGAAACCCCGTCTCTACTAAAAATACAAAAAAAAAATTAGCTGGGCATGGTGGTGGGTGCCTGTAATCCCAGCTACTCAGGAGGCTGAGGCAGGAGAATTGCCTGAGCCCAGGAGGCGGAGGTTGCGGTGAGCCGAGATCGCGCCATTGCACTCCAGCCTGGGTAACAAGAGCGAAACTCTGTCTCAAAAAAAAAAAAAAAAAAAAAAAAATTCAACAGACAAAATGTTATTCTCTTAAGTTATGGATTGCTCACTAAATACTCAAATGATTTTCTAATATACAAAGCAGCTCCATTTAAAAATGCAACAGCTGTGAATTTCATATTAACTTGTTTTCACATATAATAAAATGTATGGAAATCATATAATTTGATCACTCCTATATACCTCTCCCAGAAAGGTGGTTAGTAAACACTTAGAAAGTGAATGAATAAGTGATGTTCAAAAAAGCATTTTATATAGAATAAAATTATCTTATTTTAAACCTTATAAAATTTTGCTAAACACTGCTAAAGTTTTAGTGCTGAAAAAAGATATGAAATTTTACATTGTAACATTCACTAAAATGTAGTGATACACCAAAATTTTAGATCTTTTATTTTCACGGATTAAGTATTTAAGTATTAAATCTTAAGGACAGAATATACCATTCACAAATTGCTAAAAATGCACAATTTGCATAACTTAAAAAGAACACAGAGTGACAAAGTAACAAATTCTGGCAAAAGCTGAAGAAGGGCACAGATTTATTTATTTGTTTATTTATTTTTGAGACAGAGTCTTTCTGTGTCACTCAGGCTGGAGTGTGATGGCTCAATCATCGCTCACTATAACTTCTAACTCCTGGGCTCAAGCAATCCTCCCACCTCAGCTTTTCCAGTGGCTAAGATTACAGGCATGCCCCATCATGTCTGCTTAATTTTTAATTTTTTGTATAGCTGGGGGTCTGGCTATGTTGTCTAGGCTGGTCTTGTTGTCCTGGCCTCAAGTAATCCTCCTGCCTTGGCCTCCCAAAGTGCTGGGATTATAGGTGTGAACCATGGCATACAGCCCCAATACATATTTTTTATACTTAGTATTATTTTAAAAGACAGCAGAGTGAAATGTATACTCAGTCACAAGGGAGGCATGTCATGACCAACACTATTTCTAGGTGTGACAATAGCTATGCAGGATACAGTAAACAGAAAAAGATCCTTTTGCTTTGGAGAAAGAAAAGCAATGAAGATTTATCACTCATTGGTAAGAGGGGCATCTATTTTTGGATATAAAAAATTTCTTTTAATAGCTGCAGCCTTGCATTGCTGGGTTTAGTGTTTCACCAAAGTGAAGAAGCTGAGAGGTCTAAGGGTTCCTTGGTGATGTTTTATTTTTGATAACTGCCTGCATGTTGATTTTTCTCCCATTCTGTTTGGCAATTTAAAAAATACATTTTTGGAGTTACATGAAGTTATGATTAATACTTTAAAAATGAGATACTCGGTAGAACAACAGAAAAAGTAGAAATGTGAGAATACAATGGAGGTAGAAAATTATTTTGAAAGATCTTTTTTTATTTTTATTTTTTGTCTTTTCACTTTGAAAAATTTCAGACTTACAGAAAAGTCATGAATATAAACCATAAATTTCTTGTATACTCTTAACTTCCCTTTTTTGTTGTTATTGTTGTTTTTGCTTGTTTTTGAGACAGGGTCTCACTCTATCACCAAGGCTGGAGTCCAGTGGTGCGATCTCAACTCTCTGCAGCCTCAACTTACTGGGTTCAGGTGATCCTCCCACGTCAGCTTCCTGAGTAGCTGGAAACAGGTGTGTGCCACCGCATCCAGCTAATTCTTGTGTTTTTTGTAGAGATGGAGTTTTGCCATGTTGCCCAGGCTGGTCTCAAACTCCTGGGCTCAAGCAATCTGCCTGCCTCTGTCTCCCAAATTGTTGGGATCACAGGGGTGAGCCATCATGCCTGGCCTTCCCCTACTCTTGTCATCTTACATAATTATAGTGTAATTATCAAAACCAGGAAGTAAAATATGATACAATAATTTTAATTAATCTATGGCTCTAATTCAAATTTTGTCCATTTTGCCATTAATATTCTTGTTTTGGTCCAGAATCCAGTCCAGGATTGGCATTTCGTTTCCATATCTCCTGAGGCTCCTCTAGCAGCTTCTTGGTTGTCCTTTATCTTTTGTAAGTTGACACTTTAGAAATGTCAGTTATTTTGTAGGATGTACCTCAATTTGGGTTGGTATGATATTTCCTGATCAATAGACTGAGATTATGCATTTTTTTGCAGGAGTATTTAGAAGTGATGCTGTGCTCTTTTCTTATTGACTTATTTTTATAGAGATGGGAGTTTTGCAGTGTTGCCTAGACTAGTCTGAAACTCCTGGGCTCAAAGGACCCTCCTGACCCAGCCTCCCAAAGTGGTAGGATCACAAGCTTGAGCCACCATGCCCAGCCCATCATGCCCTTTTCAATGCAACAGGGGCTATATGATGTTGATGTGTCTTATTACTGGTGAAGTTCACCATAATCTTTTGGTTAAGGTAGAGTCAGCTGGGTTTTGCCACTGCAAAGTCACTATTTTCTCCTTTACAATTAGTAAGTGTCTTGAGTGGAAACACATTGGAATGATGCAACTTTCAATTTTTCATCATACTTCCATGCAATGATGGTTTTTGCCAGCAATGATAACTGTTGTTATTTGTCTATTTCTGTCATCCTATCTACATTTAGAATTAGAATTCTATTATAAGAAACAGTCTCTTCACTCCCATTTGTCTATTTATGTCAGCATGAACCCATGGGTGTGTAGGAATGTTTCCTCTCATTTTTCTTTGGGGTTTTGGTTGTCTGTCCCTCAATTTTGAAGAATTCTTGGTTATTAGCTCTTTGTGGCATATGTTTTCTTCTGGTTTCTCAGTTGTCTTTTGACATTGGTTATCTACATTTTGCCATATGAAGTGTTGTTTTTAATTTTCATATAGTCTTATTAACTTTTGTGGCCCTTGGGTTGAGCCATTATTAGAAGGTCTTTCCCATACTAAGGGTAAAAAACAATTTAACCATGTCTTCTTGTTTTGTATTATTTCAGTTTTTACATTTAGATCTCTAATATATTTGGAGTGTATTCTTGTGTGTGGTATAAACTACAGATGTGATTTTATCTTTTGCAAATGGCTATCCAGTTGTCTCATCACTATTTATTTAAAAAGTCCATCCTTGGCTTTGTCACACACTAAATTTCTGTATATACTTGGGATTCTATATCTGGACTTTCTATTATGTTCAACTCTTCATTTGTCTGTTGTGCACCAATATCACACTGTTTTAATTACAGAGGCTTTATAGTATGTTTTAATGTCTAACAGGGCAAGTCCTTCTTTTATGTTTTTCTGATTATTCTTGTAAGTTTGTTTTCCATATAAAGTTTTGTACTAACTTGTCTTAACCTCACCAAAACAGCTTGCTGAAATGTTACTGGAATTGCGTTATATTTACAACTGACATCTTTATAACACGTATGTTCTTATTTAAGGATGGCTTTCCATTTATTCAAATCTACTTTTGTAGAAGACAGCTTTTGTAACAGGCCTAGGCAGATTTTTCTAGGCATACAACTATAGCACTTTGGTAAATCCCAGGCACGAATGTGCTCAATAAATACTTTCCTAAATACTTACATTAAAGCTATTTCTGTAATAAAAAAATTCTTCAAGTTAACACAATCCCCAAGTATTTATTTTGTTCTTAGTGTAAGGTTAGCACAAGTATAGGAAAGGGTTTAGCACTGAAGTTTATTTAGGGATACAAAGTTACAGGCAACATACTTAAATAATGTTACCAAACCCAATCCTATCTGTCAAAATGCTGGGAGGAGATGGTGAGTGCCACAAAGGTTCAGAAAGGAAACTGACTTCAGAAAGTGGTATGAGGTGTTACATTGTGTACAGAATAATAAAAATGAAGAAATGCTTATGAATTACACTGAAAAAAGGCATAAAATTCAAATCAATGCAAAATAATAACTGAAGACAGACATTTGATTGGTCTATTTACACTTTCCATCTAGTAGGGTGGCCTCTGATATTCTACTGTATTTTATTTCTTACTAATATCTTATCAAGTTCATAAACATACCAAGCTAAAAATTCTGAAGTTATTGTAAATCCAGAATATCAGGTAGGTAACAAGAGGCCCCCATTACCTTCCATTCTGTTGAGGCTGGAGAATATCCAGCAGAAGCTGTTTAACTTCACTAGGTGATAGCTGATACAAATCCAAGGCTGGCTTGTCTCCACCACGGATCTGAAGTTCATACTCCATGGCATGGATGATCCACCTGAAACAAAATAGGGAAAGCATGAATCAATAACTCTTAAAATAAGATCACCTCAGTAATGCCCTTAACAGCACTGACGAATCCAAAGGAGAATGAAGAAGAGGCCATCTGAATTTCCTGAACTCTTGATACAATTACTTCCATCAAGATTATGTGACATGATCAGACTCTTAAAAAATGAGACCTGCTCTTGCACAGGTGGTGAGGTTGTACAACATTAAAATAGGTAAGCATTTGGGTTCTTACCAAGTGAGATTCTACCCATTCACTGTGGTATTATTCTGTACACAAACAGCTGTATTAAGTATTTTCTTAACACTAGATACATGCAAAATAAAAAAAAAAAACAGGAAAGAGAGAAAGAGAAACAATTCATTTCAAGAAATGGACTGAGATATGCTATTATGTAAAGGTTCCTTTCTCCGAAATCTCAAGCTTTTTTTTTTTAACCAATTTCCTTTACTTTGTAGTCATTCCTTTAGGGTGAGAGGAAACAGACAAGTACCTGTCTTTGAAATATAAGGACAGAATTAGTTATAGTTGTACATTAAAGATGTACTTTAACCAGTAGGTTGCAGAAGAGCCAAAATATTTATTTTATGTGTAAATAATTTTTTGAGAAGGTTTTAAAAAGCATTTTTGTAGATTCATCTCATTTCTTTCATTTACTGTATTCTGAGGACAGAACTCAGATAAACTAGTTATGAAAATGAAAGAAAATTCTGGAAATAATACTGTGCTTTAGCGAATGAGAAATTTACACACCATTAGGAAAAGTCAGGGAATTAGTTTTACACAGCAGATTCCTATGCTTCATCCTTAAATCCTTCAGTGAACACTGCATAACAGAGGCAGTACAACTGAGCATCCGGAAAGAATGCATCTTCATTCAGCCATGCTGCCTTTCTCTCCCATGCCTTCTCTTTCTCTTGATACTCTTCCTTGAAAGGCAACCCACGAGGCTATTGCAGGTACAGAGATGAAAATGTTAGGTAGATGTATTGAAAAGATTAAAGTCCTTTCTGCCAATGCTGGTTTGCAAAACGACAGTGATGCATCCTCATGGGATGACTAACATCTCTCAGTATAGAGGAGAGTAAGAAAAAATGCTAAGCCTTCATGGTTGAGACAGACAGGGTACCAACCAGGCCTGCTGGGCCAGGCCATAAGCCACAGCGTAACATGTATCAAGTTCTGTGATGGTTCTAACCTCTACCGCCCTGAGCTAAGACAACTCTCAGGGCTTCCTACCTTCTCCCCTACTGTCTGTTGTTGCCATTTCCGGAAGATGGGAGTTTAGTCTAGGGTAATACTGAGATGGATTATAAAGGCATGAGAGATACACAAGGATGAAACATACTAATATTTTAGAAATACTATGTAATGAATATTTAATAGCTATTCATTGGTAAGAGCAATAAAGATGAAGTAATTACAAACAACAAATACCTGAATGCTTCCTGTTATATGCAACAACGGAACACGTAAGAGAATTAAGATTTATCATTTCTATTTCTCTGGTAAGTCGAAAAGAAGAACTGCACTACATATGTTACTGGCAAAGACTAGGCTTTCTTAGTCTTATTATCCCAATAATAATGAGGATGATAATGATAATGATAATGATCATCCTCATTATTATTGACTGTATTTAGCCAAAATGTTACACAAGCATAAAAGTAACAAGAACATAGTTCTTTTAGATGCTTTGATGCTAAAGTTGCTTGTGAAATTAGCTGTTACAGCACAATAAACTACGCAGTGGGCCTCTTCTTTAAATTAAAAAGTTATATTGGCCGGGCGCAATGGCTCAAGCCTGTAATCCCAGCACTTTGGGAGGCTGAGGCGGGTGGATCACGAGGTCGAGATCGAGATCATCCTGGTCAACATGGTGAAACCCTGTCTCTACTAAAAATACGAAAAATTAGCTGGGCATGGTGGCACATGCCTGTAATTCCAGCTACTCAGGAGGCTGAGGCAGGAGAATTGCCTGGACCCGGGAGGCGGAGGTTGCGGTGAGCCGAGATTGTGCCATTGCACTCCAGCCTGGGTAACAAGAGCGAAACTCTGTCTCAAAAAAAAAAAAAAAAAAAAAAAGTTATATTGTTATTTTATAGACTAGGCATAGAATTGTCTTTTATTTATTTTATTTATGTATTTTATTCATTTCTTAGATTTAAAACTTATATTTGAGGCAGCTTAGAATAACAGAAGGAATACTGCATTAAAAATCTAAAGACTTGCCTGTTGGTCTCCTCAATAAGTCAATGGAATGAAAAGGAAAGTGGGAGTCATTGTTGTAGATGAAGTGATTTAAGAGACATAACCACTAATACCATGAGCCTTGTTTAGTATCATGATTCAAAAACAGACCAAGTGTAAAACGTCATTTCAGGGATAACCCAGAGAAATTTCAATAAGAATTGAGTATCTATTGATATTAAAGAATTACTGCTAATTTTGGTGGTGATGATAATGGTTTTGGGATTATTAAGACAATAACCTTTTTTTAGAGATATGTACTCACTAAAATATTCACAGGTAATGTTAAATGTCTGGGATTTGCTTTATAATATACCATAGCAAAATAAAAGATAAAGCAAATATAGCAAATACAAATAGCTAAGCATTGCTTATACCCACTAAATAATGGGTATATGCGAATTCACTAAATGATTCCATTATTATACACTTAAAATTCTTAATAATGAAAGACAGTCTTAAATACTAATTCTGTCACTTACCAACTGTGCCCCACTGTCAAGTTATTTTTCAAATGGGAACACTATTGCTCATTTAATTTACTTTATGAAATTATTTTGAGGAACACATAACGTCTATAAAAAGGCTTTGAAATGTTAAAGAATCATAAAATGTTAGTAAACTCTTGTTATGTGACTTCTTAAACTCAGTTTAGAGGAAGGTAACATAAATTTTTACTTCAAGTTTTGGAGTTCCTTAAGCAAGTGCCACAGTCAATTAAATTCAGGAGGTATCTTTTAAAATAAATAAATTTTTATTTTTAAAAGGCTTACTTTTTAAAGTCTGCCACTAACTTGAGTTATTAAAATTAGACATCATTTATCACATTTATCTTTTAAAATCCTCAGTACCACACACAAAGATAGCTGGAGACCTTAATGTTTTCCCTTAGACTTCCTTCTATTTATAAAATCTCAGCAGTTCTCTGGGCAAATTATTGAAAACACTGTTCTCAAAAATCACCAAAGAAAGAAGGTTTTTTTACTTGTTAAAGCACAAATGAATATAATCTGTTATATTATTAAAATACATTTATTCATTAAAAATGTTGGTCAAACTAATCTTTTTTTTTTTTCTTTTTGACAGAGTTTAGCTCTTGTTACCCAGGCTGGAGTGCAATGGCACAGTCTTGGCTTACTGAAACCTCCGCCTCCTGGGTTCAAGCAATTCTCTTGCCTCAGACTCCTGAGTAGCTGGGACTACAGGCGTGCACCACCATGCCCAGCTAATTTTTTTTTTATTATTATTTTTAGTGGAGATGGGGGTTTCACCATGTTGACCAGGATGGCCTCGATCTCTTGACCTCGTGATCCACCTGCCTCAGCCTCCCAAAGTGCTGGGATTACAGGTGTGAGCCACCATGCCTGGCCAAACTAATCTTTTTATACCTTGGAAGTCTTCAAATAAAAACAGCAAGAGAGCCTTCGACATAAACTACAAAACTATTAATAGCTGTCAGTTTATACCTTGGAAGTCTTCAAATAAAAACAGCAAGACAGCCTTCGACATAAACTACAAAACTATTAATAGCTGTCAGAAATCTGCAGAAAGTAAATTACCAAGGAGCAACAGAGTTAAGAATATCAAAGACATTTTATCCATTTGTAGGACTACTAATAAAGGAGCACAATTCCCAATGACAAGGCCATAAAATCTGATTTGATCATTTTAGTACAAAAGCATATTTTTCTGAGATGGAGCCTCACTCTGTTACCCAGGTTGGAGGGCAAGGGTGGGATCTCGGCTCACAGCAACCTCTGCCTCCCAGGTTAAAGCAATTCTCTTGCCTCAGTCTCCTGAGTAGCTGGGATTACAGGTGCATGCCACCATACCTGGCTAATTTTTGTGTTTTTAGTAGAGACAGGGTTTCAACATATTAGCCAGGCTAGTCTCAAACTTCTGACCTCATGATCCACCCATCTTGGCCTCCCAAAGTGCTGGGATTACAGGCTTGAGCCACTGCGCTGGGCCAGTACAAAAAGCATTTAAATGCAAAATGGGGAAAGAGAGAGATGGAAGGAAGGAAGGGCGGGGAAGGGAAAAAAGAAAGGAAATGTGAAGGTCAAAACAACGAATGTTATGGATGGGCCACAGCCTTATACACTCAGTATGTTTAAAGAGCCAGAGATGCTCTACTTGCCAATGAGCAAGTGAGAAAGTGGCAGATACACACAACTGACCAAAGCAACCTTCATATGTATCCAGGTTTGACTTGAGGACAATGAATTCTTGGGGACTACTGGAAAAGTGCAAAAAGGGATATTAGCGTTCCTCAGACAGTTCTGGGACTAAGCTTATCATTTTAAGAACACTCTTGTTTGGAGGTTAGTAAGGCTGCAGTGTGTGTATTGGCATGTTTCTTTCCGATATGCTCCAGTGAAGGAGTACAGTATGAAATATAGTATATGGAAATCTGACCCCAACAGTAAATCAGAACACCTGAAATTTTCTTTCTTTTTCTTTTTTGAGACATGGTCTTATTTGTCATCTATGGTGGAGTGCTGTGGTGTGATCTTGGCTCACTGTAATATCTGCCTCCTGGGCTCAAGTGATCCTCCCACCTCAGCCTCCCAAGTAGCTGGGACTACAGGCATGCACCACCACACCTAGCTAATTTTTAATTTTTTGTAGAGAAGGGGTTTTGCCATGTTGCCCAGGCTAGTCTCAAACTCCTGGAATCAAGTGATTCACCTGCCCTGGCCCCACAAAGTACAGGAATTATAGATATGAGCCACTGC